AGAAGAGGTTGCCGAAAGCAGGGGGTGAGGGGACAGGTGATGTGGAGGATAAGGGAGAGTGTTGGTGTGGAGATGAGGCTGTTGTCTGCTCCAGTCACTTTGTACTGAATCAAACATTTCCTTGAGGCTGTGCCTTGCCCTGACTAAGTCCTTTTATAAAACAGCAGTTTGGTCCTCGCCGAATGCAAATGCTGGTGCAGAGGAGCGCCACCTCTTGTCTGTGCAGGTAAATAACTACCATCTGCCCAGCACAAACCAGGGGCACATGCTGGCAGACAACTCACTCATGAAAAATATTATCACCATCAACTTATCAAAACAAATCAAGAATATGTGGATTGCATCAAAACCATGACCAAAAAAAAAAAAAGGCTTGTGAACTTTTTTTTTTTTGGTTTTTCAAGACAGGGCTTCTCTATATTGTTTTGGAGGCTGTCCTGGAACTCGCTCTGTAGACAGGCTGGCCTCGAACTCACAGAGATCCACCTGCCTCTGCCTCCGAGTGCTGGGGCTTGTGAACTTATTAAACACAGAACAACAGGTGATGCAATCTCCTTACCTGGGTCATATAAAAGGAGGGACACCCCCTCTACCAAAGAATGGATAAAGAAAACGTGTTACATTTGCATAACAGAGTATTACTCAGTTGTTAAAAACAAGAACACCAGGAAATTTGCAGGCAAATGGATGGAACTAGAAAAAAATCATTCTGAGTGAGGTAACCCAGATGGATAAAGACAAACATGGTATGTACTCACTTATAAATTGCCATTAGCTGTAAAATAAAGGATAACAGCCAGGCAGTAGTGGCGCACGCCTTTAATCCCAGTACTCGGGAGGCAGAGGCAGGCAGATCTCTGTGAGTTCGAGGCTGGGCTGGACTGACAGCCTCGAAAACAATACAGAGAAACCCTGTCTCGTAAAAATAATTAAAAAAAAAAGGATAACTATGCTAATATCCACAGGCCCAGAGAGACTAGGCAACAAGAAGAGTTCAAGGGTGGGTGGGACACACAGATCTCTCTGGGAAGGGGAAATAGAAGAGATTTTGTGAGTGGACTGAGGGCAGGTGGAGATGAGAATATGAACAATCAGTTTGGGGGGGCATGGAGAGGTTGAGTGCTGAGAGGAACTGCTGGGGGGGTATTTTGGGGTTGGGTGGAAACCTGGTGCAGGGGAATCTCCCAGGAATTTATAGGGAGGACCTAGATTACTAGCAATAGTGGATAAGTAGCCTGAACTGGTCATCTCCTGTGACCAGATTAGTGCCTGGTCCAACTGTCATCAGAGAGGCATCATCCAGCAACTGATGGAGGCAGATGCAGAGACCCACAACCAAACATTCTGCAGAGGAGGAGAAAGGAGTGTAGGAGCCAGAGGGGTCAAGGACATTATGGGAAAGTTCACACAATCAACTTACCTGGGTTCATATAGGCTTGCAGAGACTGAACCAACATCCAGGGAGCTTGTATGAGACTGACCTAGGCACTCTGCATATAATGTTATAGTAGCTTGGTCCTCTTATGGGATGCCTAATGGCATGAACAGGGCCAGCCTTAATACACGAGGAGGTGCTTAGTTTTACTGCAACTTGATATGCCATGTTTTATTGATACTCATGAGACCTGTCCTTTCCTGGATGGAGATGGAAGAGGAGGAGATTGGGGTGTGGGAAGGGGGAATGAGGATGAGGGACTGCAAGGGGAGGATCGGGGGAGGCTGTGGCCAGGATATAAAATAAATAGATGAATTAAAAATAATAAAAGGAGGGACACCTAACAATGGGGTAGAGTGACACCTGTCAACCCATCATCAGACCAAGTGACATAGAACGATCAATAGGTGAATGACTCTTGACTGTCCTCTTTGGGGCTTCAGCTAAGCACAATCCCCTCTGCTTGACAGCGCCTGCTTAGATGGCTGCTCTTCCAATGCAGCTCTTCATTTGAGCTAGCTCTGTACTTGGAACCTGCTTTGCAACTCAGAACAGTTCTGTGACTGGGCTTTCATGTCAGTATCTTCATGTATGTGTATGTGCACATGCACACGTGTGTGGAAGTTAAAGGATGATTTTGTTCTTCCTCAGGTACACTCCATCTTTTGCTTGAGACAGTCTCTCATTGGCCTGCAACTCTGCTAAGTAGGCTAAGCCCACTTAACCAATGAACTCCAGAGTTCCAGCATTTCACCTCCTACCTTACCAGCACTGCAGGTGATTGACTGCAGGTGCAATTTACCAGCGGAACCATCTTCCCATTCCCTTATGTTAACATTTACCTAGCCTCCCGGAGTGACTCTCTCTGCAGGTGTCTGCTCCCAGCTCTTGACTTCAGAGAAGCCTTGCTGACCTCTGTAGCTCAATCTTTTTGTACCCCAGAGCCAAAGCCTCTGCTTCTCCCAGCACAAGCATACACATACACATATATGATAGACAGGACGATGACAGGTAGATGGATAGATACGTAGGTAGATGACAGACAACGTAGTGTGTGTATGTGTATAAAACTGGGATGGTGTATAATTAGTAATTAATGTTGACGTAAAACAAATTGTGGGGCCAGTCAGATGACTTAGCACATAAAGATACTTGGTTCTTGGGGCTGGAGAGATGGCTCAGCGGTTAAGAGCACTGACTGTTCTTCCAAAGGTCCTGAGTTCAATTCCCCGCAACCACATGGTGGCTCACAACCACCTTGAATGAGCTCTGATGCCCTCTGCTGGCATGCAGGTAGAAGATTGTATACCTAATAAATAATTAAAATATTTAAAAAAAAAAAAAGATACTTGGTTCTTGAACCTGGTGACTGAGTTCAATCTCTGGAACCCAGGAAGAGGGGAAACAGAATTGATTGTATACAGTCACTCTCTGAACACTACATTCATGTCATAAGATCCCCCCAAATAAATTTTAAATTAAAGAACCCCTGCGATTGTAATGTGAAATCAGGACTAGTTGGTAAATCAAAACCAAGAACATTGGCATCACTTGTGAATATAATGTTTTCCCATAAATTTGATGTTGTGGAAAGACAAACGGTTTGTTTCTGAAGAAGCTCACTCTGACCAATAAGTAAAGGCATGAAGTTTCTTTCTGAGGTGATAAGAATATTAATTATGGTGATGGCTCCATTCTATCTGTGGATATACCAATTCCACAAAAAAAAAACCATAAATACTCACTTAACTGTACTTGAGCCTTTTACATGCTAGGCAAGTATTCTACCGCTGACCTGTATCTCCAGCCAAAACTGTGCTAATTAAATGTGTAAACCATATAGCATATATATTATATCCCAGTAAAGGTGCTAATGGAAAGAGAGAAAAAACAAACAAAAACCAATCCAGTCTCCCTGGTATGAGTGCCTCAAGTTTCAAAATAGTCTCTTCTGGAACACTGTTGAAACTGTAGTCTCTGGAACTTCACCAGGCAGCTTTGGGTTCACGGCAGAGAGTTCTCCAGCAATGCTGTCTCGTTTAGGGAATGCAGCAGAAACAACAGGCTACCAGAGGGAAGTCGCTGGGCTCCGTGGGACAGCACGGAGGGTTCCGCTTATCCTCTCCTGCTAGGTGTTAAGCACTCAGTACAGCTGGGTGAAGTAAGCAGGGTACACCAGAGGGCAGAAGTGTGGGGAGCCAGGTTTACGTGACGTCTAAGAGGAAGAAACCTCTTTTACTCTCACCTTGGAAAACATGGAGCTGAGCTGCTTCCCGGAGCCGTAGTAGCCGCCCTGGGAGAGAGACAGCCTCACTTGCTCTTTCACCTGCTCCTCGTCCAAGTGCCAGCAGTTCTCGTCATCGATGCTGGCCCCCGCTGTGGGGTCGGGGGCGCCTGTGGGGAACGGGACGCTGTAATGAATGCTCGGGATTCCCATGACACATATCCAGCTGCGTGGAACTTTGTGAGCACACAGATGCAGACAGCCAGTGCTTTGGCAACTGTGTGGGACTTGAGAAATGTAAGGTGCATGCTAGTTTCAGGCTCACAGAAGTCACAGTTGTAGCCTTCAAAGGTCTATTCATACTGAAAAGCCTAGAGTGGTATACACACATGCTGTGGGATGGTGATATGTGCCTTAAGTCCCAGAACTTGGAAGGCAGAGGCAGGTGGATTGGATGCCTGATCTGCAGGGTGAGTTCCAGGACAGCCAGAACTACACAGAGAAGCCCTGTCTTGAAAAACCAAAAAAAGAAAAAAGAAAAGCAATAAAGGAAAAAAAAAAGAAGAAATGCACATCTCTTGCTGAATATACATGCAGCCTCTGTCCTTTATTTTATAGTGTACAACTATTTTTTTAAAAAGATTTTCATTTTATGTGTATGGGTGTTTGCATGTATTCTGTGTACCACATGTGTGTAGTGCCTGCAGAAGCCAGAAGCGGGCACCATATCCCTGGAACTGGTTACAATTGGTTGTTAGCTGCCATGGGAGTGCTGGGAATCAAACTCAGGTCCTCTTGTAAGAGTAACAAGTACTCTTACCTGCTGAGCCTTCTCTCCAAGCATGGCATACAACTTTAAAGTCCTTGGAGTTTCAAAGTGGTGCCTTTCTGTCTGCTAATGAGTTGCTGATGACGGTCAAAACAAGCCAGACAGCTTCAGGATGGGCTCTGCTCACCCAGGCAGAGAGCTGGGATATTTAGTCCCATGTGTCAACCTCTAATGAGGAGAAATAGAGTCTTGAAGGTTAAGTTGCTCACCAATGGCCAGCGATTTAAACAGCCATAGCTACATAATGACACTCCCACAAAAACAAAACAAAACAAACAAAACAAAAATATAGCATGGAATTTTTCAGAGCTTCCAAATAGTAGGGCATGGGAAGGGCTCCCAAGAGCAACATACCCGGAGAAAGAATGGAAGCACAGCCTCCTGTAAGACATGCTTTGAGGACTGGAGAGATGGCTCAGAGGTTAAGAGCACTGACTGCTCTTGCAGAGGTCCTGAGTTCAATTCCCAGCAACCACATGGTGGCTCACAATCATCTGTAATGAGATCTGGTGCCCTGTTTGACCTGCAGGCATACATGCAAGGAGAATGCTGTATACATAATAAATAAAGCTTCCGAAATATCTTGATGTTCATTCCACATGCAGAGCAGTCTAGTTGCCCTCCATGTGTCAGTCACAACAGAGGCCCTTTTTTTTTTGATTTTGTTTTTTTCCAGACAGGGTTTCTCTGTGTAGCCCTGACCATCACTTTGCAGACCAGACTGGCCTCAAAGTCACAGAGAGCCACTTACCCCTGCCTCCTAAGTGCTTGGATTAAAGGCTTGCACCACCATGCCAGCGAAGAGTGTTGCTTTTAACAGTGGTTGTGAAAAAGGTAATCTTTTTAAATCAAGAAAATGTTATATAATTACCATTCACTTGGTTGATTTCTGAGTTGGAGGATAGAATCTCATCTGCCAGCTTTTGTGCAGTAGGAAGAACTTCGGTGTGGTGTGCTGTGATTAAATACTGAATAAACTTCTGTAGCTGGTCCCTATTCATCTGGAAAAGGGTTTCTGAGATAGGAAGACGTAATTTGACTTGGTCTGGTTTACGGATCCTGTAGAGTGAGAGTGCCACCACATGAGCACAGTAGAATATGTCCTTATTCCCACAGCCACAGGTCACGGAAGTGATTTTGCATCGATCAAAACTGATTGCAACTTTGTAAGTCACTGCTGGTTCAGAAGCAGTAGCTGGTTCAGTTACTGTGCCACTCAGATGGAAGCCTAAAGAAACAAAGGAAAACATTCTGTTTAGAGAGTAGCAGGAAACTTAAGGGTTGATCATTTTACAATGCAGTGAGCATCTCCTATACAGATAATGAGATATGTCTGGACAACATCAAGCTCAGGAGTGAAAGTTAAGTACTGTCCAGAAGGAATACACAACCCAGAAAAACAAGATTCCTTTATCTTGCAGTGAATCTCTTGGACTAATGTAAAAACTTTAAAATATACTTTTGCATATATCTTTCTGGAAGGACAGTTCATAGTTTTCATTGCAGTCTCAAATGGTTAATAAACTCTTAAAAGTTAAGAATTCTTGGGCTGGAGAGATGGCTCAGAGGTTAAGAGCACTGGCTGCTCTTCCAGAGGTATTGAGTTCAATTCTCAGCAATCACATGGTGGTTCACAACCATCTGTAACGAGATCTGGTGCCCTCTTCTGGTGTGCAGGCAGAAGTACTATTATACTTAGTAATAAATAAAATCTTTTTTAAAAAAGTTAAGAATTCTTGTAAAGTTTGAACTCAAAGTGCTGATTAAGACAAGTCCATAAACAACACTAGTACAATCTAGACTGCAGTGAGCACTATATGAGATGGAAAAAAGAATTCCATGAGGAAGAATAGAAGGAAAAATAAGTATGATTAAGGAAATTTCATCCTTAAAAACATATAGTTCCAAAATGGTGACCATATGGAAATTCCAAAAAGCAAGAAAGCTAAGATACAGAACTTGGTACAAAGTATATCATATGGTACTACATCTTTATTCACAAGGCACACAACACCAGTAACTATTAAATGAAAGAATGCTTTATTTAGTTTTTGAAACAAGGTGTTGTGTAGCTTACGAAGTCTCCAACTTGATATGTAGTCAAGGCTGACCCTGGAACCCTTCTGCCTTTACCTCTTGAGTGGTGGAATACATGAGACTCCCAATCTCATGCTTGTGCACCAACAACTTTATTAACTGAGCTATCTCTTCAGTTGGAACACCAAACATTGCCCAAAACTCATGGGAAAACCAACTACGTCACAAAGTTTTCAGGTATCTCGACGGGCGGTGGTGGCACATGCCTTTAATCCCAGCACTCGGGAGGCATAGGCAGGCGGATTGCTGTGAGTTCGAGGCCAGGCTGGACCGACAGCCTCACAAACTTTTTTTAAAAAGATTTTATTTATTTATTACTAAGTATAATAGTACTTCTGCCTGTGTGGCTGTGATGATACTTCACTCCCATTCTCCTCAATGGCACATGCCGGCAAAACCAAATCAAAACAATCCCATGTATATCATAGCATCACCCTAATTACTGAGTACTCCAATGCCCAAGAACTATAAGCTTTCAAAATAGCCTCTTTTACCAGTTGTAGAACTTGAAGGATGATGGATAGATTGAGGAGAAGCAGTTAAAAAGAATATGTAACATTTACTCCACTAGTGGTCCCAGCAGGCTACAAAGGCCAAAATCCTTATTTCTTTCCTATAATAGGCCTGTCTTTGATGTAAAGAAATCAGGAATGGTAGACATGTAGACTTGGCTTTTGTTGTTGGTTCTCCTCCCCTCCCACGAGACAGCTTTGGCTGTGGACCTGGCTCTCCTTGAACTCACAGAGATCTGCCTGCTTCTGCCTCCCTAGTGCTGGGATGAAAGGTGTGTGCCACCACTACCCAGTGTAGAGACTTGTTTTAAGAGAATACATAAATAGACTGCTGCTCCTGTTGTATCTCTATCATATCATATAAAAGCTTAATTTTTGGGGGGGAAGCAGAGGCAGGTAATCTCTGTGAGTTAAAGGTCAGCTTAGTCTAAATAGTAAGTTCAATGGCAGCCAGGTTACACAGAAAGACCCTGTGTCAAACAAAAACAAACCCCATCACCAATAAAAAAACCAAATTCTCAAATACTTTAATATTGAGTGGATCCCAAATGAAGCATAAAATACTTTCAAGGAGTTTCTGTTTAGTTTTATTAGTAGTATATTTTCCCCCAAATCGCAAATCAGGATTTGACATAAAAAAGAAATGTTTTACTTCAAATTTTTATCTGTGATTTTAGACTTCCTCTCTACCCAGCTCTATCTTATTTACAATTTAAGAATAAGACAAACCATAGCTTCTTCTCCATTATATATCATGATGGCTCTGTTATCTTAATTTCTAGGAAAATCACTGGCCTTTTAAAAGTACCTTTATGCTTGGCCTCCTACCAGGATACCATCTTGTAAGCATGTTACACTTTCTTTACCTTCAACATGCACCAAGTATCATTTGGGCAAGAATAAACTCACCAACAAACCTAGGATGGTGGCACATTCCTGTAACTGCAGCACTTGGGACTCAGAGTAGGACAATCATGAGTTTGTGGCTAGCTTGGGTTATACAGACATAGCAAGACTTTGTCTCAAAAACAAAAACTAAAAGCCATCAAAATGTCCTCAGGGAATGAACAACCAAGTGTTTGAAAGAAGTGCTTGCTAGAATTTGCTGCGCTCAAATATGTGCCAAACATTGTCTATTAAAAACCCATGCATGGCTTGTGACTTACAATACATGTGGTTCTCCTGACTATTATAATAAATGACAGTACAAGAAGCAATAGAAATGGTCAGACACTTTCCCTCAACATTGTTCTCATCATTAAAAAAGAAAGAGAAGTTGGGTGGTGGTGGCACACGCCTTTAGTCCCAGCACTCTCTAGAGGCTGAGGTTGGCAGATCACAGTGAGTTTGAGGCCAGCCTGGTCTACAGAGCAAGTTCCAGGAAAGCCAAGGCACACAAAGAAATCCTGCCTCGGAAAATTAAAAAAAAAATTCTGAATGGTTCAGGAACTGATTGAACTCAACCTTGAATTAAATAGAAAGTACTAAAGACAACTTTTCCTTTTGGATATATAAATATATGCTATAACTATAACTATATATATATACATATATATATATGGTGAGATTTCTTTTTTCCAAATAAGGAAAATGCTATATTCTACACTGCTTAGCTCAAATATCACTTTGCATTAAAGCACCTGGTACTTCATGTTGTTGAGTCATTAAATGAAAAAGCTTTAGCATTTATGCCTGTGGAGCTTAAAATTCTAGTTTACATGAAAGATTTTGTCCAGAATCAAATAATAAGGACCTAAGAAATAATCACTTCATTGGTTGCCCAGAACAGTTATGTAATTTACATGATTATAACCATGAGAATAAAAACTTAAATGACCATAATTTCTGAAATATCTTGGGTTTTAAAAATTAGGAATAATAGATTTATAGTGATTCTTTCAAATCAGTGTTCCTTCCAAATACAGTCAATTGCTTATAAGCTCCTCTTTCCTCCCAGTGCTAGGGATGGAACCTGAAGTTTTCATGTACTCTACCACTGAGCTGCATACCCTAATTAGTTATTTTATTGATCAATAAACAATTTTTAATCAGTAACACTTTTTGAACATGAACACATGCTGGGCATTTTATTTTGCTTTTAATTTTTATTTATTATGTTCGTGCGTGTGTGCGTGTGTGCGTGTGTGTGTGTGTGTGTGTGTGTGTGTGTGTGTATGACTGGGGGTGATGCCACAGTCCTGTGTGATCAGAGGATAACTCTTTGGAGTCAGTTCTCTCCTTCCTCTTTTACATGGGCTTTGGGCATTGAACTCAGGTCTTCAGCTTTCATGACATGTGCTATACTTGCTGAGACACCTTTCCAGTTTACTCTCAATTTGATTGAAAAATGATGCATCTTGTATTTCTGGCACCTAATATAGAGACAGCATAGAATAGACATTTATACAAATGTTTACTGAATACAACAATTTTGATTCTTTAATGTCTCCCCAATGATCACAGGACAGTGCAACATGTGTTGGGATCTTTTTCAGTCTCTTCAGACTTGCTCAGCACACTGTCACACCACGCTTCCTGGGTAATTCATGGTGGTTAGTTTTCTCCATTTTTTCCCTTTATATGTGAGATTCCCTATAGCAGCATGACCTTCTCACCTCCTCCTCATTCCAAATTCTCAACTCACAAGGTATTTACTGTAAGAGTCTTCCCTGTGTCTTTGGACACCTAGCTAAGTGCTTCTTCATGGCTCTCATTTTCATTAGTTTTACCTGTACTTGAGCAAATGACTGTCAGTGTAATGAACAGATTCATGCTTGTCTTTTCCCTTTAGATTGTGAAGTCCTTGTAAACAAGGGTTTGTTTTCATCTTTATATTTTCAGTTGGCATATTGTAAGGGCTTAATAAGTATCTGTTTATAGATGAATGAATAACTGAACACTAAATTGAACCTTTGCATATTCATATCTATAATTCACAGAGGATTAAATATGTTTATAAAATTCCTGATTTTGTGATTAAAATATATCATCAAATTAAACAATTTTACTGGGATGGTGAGCAAAGTAACAAGAATTTATATACA